TCATATTACACTGACAGTAGTCATGCCAGCAGTCATGTGAATCCGATGTTTTTTCCGGCTGACAGTGGAGATGAGGACAGGCGTAGCCAGAGTCTTAAGTTGAATATTTTAATTTTTCTCCTTGTTGTTGTACTTGTATTTGTCCTTTTTTTAGTTCTTCTGGTACTCATTAAGTTGTGAGAACTGTATGGTATCTTTTAGAAAAAATCTGTGATTATCGTATGTTTCTGCACTATATGTTTCTTTTCCAACAATAAGCTATTCTGAATAAGCTGCCCCAAACAGTTTTGATTCAAACAGGGGCATGAATGTCATTTAACCACCAATAAGTTGGTCTGAATAAGCTGCCCCAAACAGCAAGCCAGATTATTCTGATAATCTACAGATTATCAGATTATCACAATAATCTGCTTATCAGCAGATTATAAATAATCCACAGCTGCGCCAAACAGACCCTTAGTCTTATCCACAATAAGGAAATCATCAATGAAAAGCAATACACTAAAGTACATCTTCCTGTAAATGTCCAATAAGAGTATCCAAAACTAAAGCAAAAAGATATGGGCTTAAAGTCGATTCCTGATGTAATTCAACTACAACAACAACAATAAGCCTTCATCGCACTACGTGGGGTTGGATACATGAATTCTTTTTTTCCATTTTATCCTAATAGGTTAAGATCTTTTTTTATACAATACGCCAAGGCTTTTTAGATCTATCTCTGTTTATCTTAATATAAAACATCTACTCTGAATCATCAGATGGTAGAAGTTTAATGTGACTAAACCATTTGAGACAACTCTATATTTTTGTCTGTCACTGGAGCTACACCAGCCTTATCATGGATATATTCATTTCGCATTTTGTCTCTAAGTGTCAAACCACTCGTCCACCTAAGCATTTTCATATCAGAAACACTTAGACTTAACTTTGTTTTATACTTTTCTTTGAAAGGCCAACATTTTGAGCTATAGAGTATTGTGGATTTCACAACAATCTTATGAAATTTTCTTGTAAGAGTAAGCAATACTTTTCTATCACACAATAGGCCTAATGCATTCCTCCACTTCAACCAACAGATATGAATTCTACTAATAACATCCCCATTCATATCACCGTCACTTTTAACAGTAGACCCGAGATATCTAAAATGTTGACACCTTTTAATGATTTGATCACCGATAATTCTAACTCTGCCACTAGAGCTATTACTAAAATTACATTCTATGTATTCAGTTTTAGATCTACTCAAAAGAAGGCCTTTATACTCCAATGTAGACCTCCATAAGTCAAGTTTTCCCTAAATTTTTTTTCTAGTCTTATCCACGAGAAGGATATCGTTAGTGAAAAGCATACACCAAGGCAAATACTCCTGTAAATGTCCAGTAAGAGTATCCATAACTAAAGCAAAAGAGCATGGGCTTAAAGCTGATCTTTGATGTAATACAATTAAAATAGAAAATACTTGGTAAAGCCTCCTATTCAAACACAAGTAATAGCTCTAGTATAAATATCTTTAATGACTTGAATATAAATCATATCAACACATTTCTTCTTTAGAAATCTCCAAAGGACTTCTCTTCGAATCTTATGATAAACTTTTTCAAAATCAATAAAAATATATGTAGATCCTCCTGACTCTCTCTGTACTTCTCCATCAAAACCCTCAATAAATGAGTAGCATTTATAGTAGATTTTCCATACATAAATCCAAGTTGATTATGAGAAACCTTGATATCTAGTCTAAAACTATGTTCAATTATCCTCTCTCATAATTTGAAGTATGACATGTTGACTTAAATCCTCTATAATTCACACACTCTTTTGCATTCCCTATATTCTTAAAAATGAGAATCAAAATACTTTTCCTCCACTCCATAGGCATCTTTTTAATTTTTAAAATAATATCAAAGAGCTTAGTAAACAAAGAAACTCATAAATCTCCTAAACATTTCAACACTTCAAATACGATATCATCAGGTCCTACTAATTTTCCACCCTTTATTTTTTTTTAAAGTCTCTTCAACTTTTTTTTTACTAATGCAATGGTAAAAATAAAACGTTTCCTTATTATTAAGGATATTAAGATCACTAAGGTCGAACGTATATTCAGAAACTTCATTGAAAATTTTATCAAAATAGCCAATATATATATATATATATATATATGTATATATTTCATCCTTTTTAGTATCTAATCTATTAAAAAAATCAATAAAAGCATAATCTTTAGCATCACAAATCGTTCTTCATCCTTTTTAGTATATAATCTATTAAAGAAATCAGTAAAAGCATAATCTTTAGCATCACAAATCGTTCTCTTAGACTCTCTTTGAGTCATCTTATATTTTTCTCGATTCTCTAAGTTTTTACATTTAAATAATTTTTTATAACATAACTTCTTATAATTTAACTTTTCCTGCGCATTATTATTCCAACACCAACTATTTTTATTTACAAAAACTTTTCATTTTGATTCTCCAAGTACATCTTTTATCACTTGTTTAATAATTTTTGTTACTTTATTTCACGTAGAATTAGCTTCTTCATGAACATCACAAATTTTGAAATCTTAAAATTTACTTATAAAAAAAATTATTTGCATCTTTTATGTGCTCCGATCTAATTCTATGATAACATCTCATTGTATTCTTTATCTTGCAACTTATCTTAAAATTCAAAACTAATAATTGATGGTGAATATTTAAATTTTCACTTGGAATGATCTTACAAACTTTTCATTCTCGACGATCTCTTCTTCTCATAAGAAAAAAATTAATTTGTGTTTTATTAGTTCTATTTTTATAAATAATAATATTTTCATTTTTCTTAAATAAATTATTAACAATAACAAAATTATATGATAAAGCAAAATCTAATATAGTTCTAGTTTCTTCATTAGTCGCTCCAAAACCATAGGCACCATGATTTTTTCTAAAATATCTACCACCCTAACAACAATATAATCTACTCTGACGTAATCCAACTAAATTAGGAAAATACTTGATCAATCCTCCTTTTGTCTGAACACAAGTAACAGCTCTGGCATACATATCCTTAATGACTTGAAAATATAAATCATATCAACATCTTTCTTTTCTAGAACTCTCCAAAGAACTTCTAAAACCTTATTGTAAGTTTTTTATAAAACGATAAAAATCATATGTAGATCCTCCTTACTCTATTTCTCCATCAAACCTCTCAATAAATTTATAGCTTCCATAGTAGACTAGTCCAGCATAAATCCAAACTAACTATGAGAAATTTTTGTATCATGTCTTAATCTATGTTCAACTACTCTCTACAATAATTTTAATGTATGGCAAATTCACTAAATTCTTCTATAATTTGCACACTCTTGTGTATCCCCTTTATTCTTAAAAAAGGTGCCAAAATACTCTTCCATCACTCCTCAGACGTCTTTTTAGTTTTTGAATAATATTAAAAAGTTTAGTAAGCCAAAAAAACTCCTAAATGTCCTAAATATTTTTACACTTCTATTGGGATATCATTAAGTCCCACTAATTTTCCACCATTAGTTTCTTTTAAAGTCTCTTCAACTTCATTTTTACTCCTTACTCTCTCTGTATTTCTCCATCAAACCTCTCAATAAAATTTATAGCTTCCATAGTAGATTAGTCCAGCATAAATCCAATCTAATTATGAGAAATCTTTGTATCATGTCTTAATCTATGCTCAACTATACTCTCCAATAATTTTAATGTATGACAAATTAACTTAATTCTTCTATAATTTGCACACTCTTATGTATCCACTTTATTCTTAAAAATGAGACCAAAATACCCTTCCATCACTCCTCAGACATCTTTTTAGCTTTTGAATAATATTAAAAAGTTTAGCAAGCCAAAAAACTCCTAAATGTCATAAATATTTTCACACTTCTATTGGGATATCACTGATTTTCCACCATTAGTTTCTTTTAAAGTCTCATCAACTTCCTTTTTACTAATTTAACGATAAAAATGAAAAATTTTATTATTATTGGCAGTATTAAAATCGTTAAATTCAATCGAATTTTTAAAAGCTTTATTGAAATGATTATTAAAATATCTCACCCACATATGTTGAATATCTTCTTCTAAGAAAAGCACGTTTTGATTTTCATCTTTAATACACCTGAATTAAATCTTTACTTTTCACATCTCTTTATTCGGCTAGTTTATACATAAAACTTTCACTCTCTTTAATATATAATATTTATACAGCTCACTAAAAGCAAAATTCTTGGTATCACAAATTGTTCTCTTAGTCTTCATATGGGCCACCTTATATATTTCTCATTTCTTCAAACCTTTTATAACAATTTTTTTTATATTTTATCTTTTCTAGCATATTATTATTTCACCACCAACTATTTTTATTTATAAAATTTTTCTTTTTGATTCTCTAAGTATATCTTTTGCCACTTGTTTAATAGTGTTTGTTATTTTATCTCACATAAATTTAATTTTTTTTATAAACATCTCAAATCTAGAAATCTCGAAGCTTACTAATAAAAATAATTTTATTTGTGTCTGTTAGGTGTCCTCATCTATTTCTATGATAATGCTTCATTATATTTTTTATTTTCCAACTCCTCATCTTAAAACCCAGAACTAAAAATCGATGTTGAGTACTTAAATTTTCCCTTGATATGACCTTACAGTCTTGACATGCTCGACGATCTTTTTTTCTCAAAAGCAAATAATCAATTTGTGTTTTAATAGATCCATTCTTGTAGGTAAAAATGCGCTCATCTTTTTTCTTAAATAAAGTATTAGTAATTACAAAATCATAAGTTAAAACAAAAACTAAAATGGTTTGATAATCTTCACTCATTTTGTATCATTAAGTAAAATTCCTTCATATTTAGGTACCTTCATATTTGCTATTTTAGTTAAAAACCACACAATCTTATATTATGAAATATATCCAAGCAAGAGAGAGATAAAATTCATGCTTGTTTTTCTTGCGCAAGTGATATGTGCAGCAATTTCAATCAGATGGATATAAGTTCAGGGTAAACCCTCCAATGACAAGGTATTATCCATGCATAATGTGTGAAAACCATAACCCATGGTATATTTAACTAATACTTTCGTCTCAGACAGTCACATCAAATAAAAAAGAATCAGCCCAAGTTGCCAAAAGAAGGGGAACAGCTGGCAACAACAGTGGAGACCGCTTAGGTTTTGTTTACAGCATAATATTAATGCTAGCTCCTAAGTGAAGATAATATGAAATGGTTAAAATTCAACTTATTTTGGGTCAAATTGTGCAAAGAAAGCATATTAATATTTTAGCGAGCAAATTTTACCTGGGATTTTAAAGGATGAGGCAAAAATGACTGCTGCAGACTATTATTTGGCAGGATGGCTTGATGTTGTAGACCAATGCTTGTAGTTCCAACCGGTCTGAATTGGTGCAATAGAGAGGGCTGCACTTGTGGTACGGAACTCACAGAAGAAGGGAAAGGTGGAGCTTGTACATTTGCGGGCATAGACACACCAGCTATTCCAGGTATTGCTCCTTGAGCATAAATTTGATTTTGGGACAGAGGTGGCCGATGAGCATGAAGAGGCAAATGTTTAGGGGGGAGTGAAGAATGCTGGAAAATTGCAGGATTTGGTAAAACGTTTTTTCCTTGAGATTCAGAAGATCTCCAAAATGGTTCAACCGCTGCTTCTTTATGTAAGGAAACTTGACCAAGGTAAGGTGTTGAAGGCTCGAAATCCTGTTTATTATCCTGGACTGAAGGCATTGCTACTACACTTAATGTTTTCTGGTTACCTGCGACTTGCATCTGCATGCCCATCAACGTAAAGTAGATTTAAAAGAAAAAAATAGCATTTGATAGCTGAAACTATTCTATTTAAGCTGCTTAAAAATTTAATTTCAAAGGAATGAGACCCACCATTTGTGGTGTTACCATACCAAGCATAATTTGTACCTGCATTGCAAAAGAAACACTTCAGATTCTTCAGATCAGAGAAAACTCAAGAAGAGCTTCATACACAAAAATGAGTCTTATCACAGAAATAGGTTATTTTTTTTTCAGACTATAACTCTACATTGGCCATGTATCGTCTTCTAAATAAGTATTTTTTGACCTAGTAATACTCAGTCGCAGAAAAATGAGTATTATGCCCAGCATACGGCGATAGAAACTTCAAAGGAAACTAGATAAAAAATGAAACTACATAAAAAAGGAAACAGTAATATGTCTCTTTCATAATTTTGAGCACTGCAACAGAACAAAACTCATAAAAATGTGAACTTTTACAATTGATACATACGTAAAAATAAACATGAGCTCATATCTCTACTCCCATGACACTTATCCAGACAATTAAACGTAAGAGAACAATTGATCATTATAATAAGGAATAATTATTTAGACCCACTTGAATACTGTCAGCCAGAAGGTAGAATATGTTTTTGACAAAATAAGTTTATAAATAAACTTGGTGAATTCAAAAAAAATAACCTGAAAAAGTGCCTTCGTCAATTGTGGACTTGCCTGCAGCAGTTCCTGAGCCTGAGTCCTGTTTTTTGTAGCCAAGGCCTAAAAAAACTTTAAGTCAACATATCATTGCATTCATATTTGAGGAAATTCAGAGAACAAAATTAGGAAAAGAAAAAAGTAAAAAAAATCAAGACACCTTCATCTCCAACATAATTTCATTTAGCTGGTATCTGGACATACATGCAAGGTAATTGGCCAAAGGATCATTTCCCGAGCCAGGAAAATTGGGCTGACCACTTCTAAATTGAGATTGACTACTAGTCTGTGGTCCACCTAATGCTTCAGCCATTATAGAGGCAGCTGCAGCTGCTTGTGGAAGCACTAATAGTCGTTGAAGGGTTGCATCTCCAACAAATGGTTGAGTAGCTAATGATTTCTGGCTATCTGTAAATTATGCTACAAGAGGATTAATGAAGGTTATATTGGCAAAGAAACAAAAGAATTCTTATAAAGAATAAGTTCCACATAACAATTTAAATTCAAATAAGAGGACTAACCAGTACTTGATGTCAATCCTGGGCCACCACGACCCTGCAACAAAATTTTGTTAATTAGCCGTGGGCATGGACGAATACCACAGTTCTTATAAATAACATCTACCTATTACATGTTGAGAAAAAAATTATAAGTCAACCGAAGACGCATATGCAGTTACACATTAAGCTTTTCAATAAACAAGCTGCAAATCAATCCAGTAGCCAGGTGCCAAGTCAACATCAGCAGAAACCTTGATGTCATTTATGGCTTGAGCTTACCTGATGGCCTGAGCTTGGTTTGTGGGCAAAAGAAGCCCACTTGTGACCCAAAAACCAAAATAAAGTACTCTTTGGCTAGATTGATTAGAAAGAGGGATTTGTCTGGCTGTAAGTTTGACGAAGAACTAATCGTTGCAGATAGTTGGTTATTTTGTTGTTCTTAACGTGAGGAAGCTAAATGTAAATATAGTAATGATGACAGAACCTAACCACAATTTTAAACACCAAGAATCCTAAATGCTTAATAATACTAAAACCATAGTTGCAATATATTCATTCTTGAATTGCGTGATTGATATTTGAGATTTTACCAAAACAACCTATCATAAGTCTTCCATGGCAATGTGTTTAGGATATACAAACACGTTCAATTTCACACAAAAACACTTGAAGAGGGCAAAAAGAGTCATTATAAATTTAAATGCGTGAGGAGCCATGTTTGATCTTTCAATTTACTCAGACAAATAAAAATGAACTATATTTGAAATCACTATGATACTCTATAAACCATAAGTTTGAATGCATGTCATCATATACAATCACATTCAAAAGGATTTAACCAAATGAGAATTAGTATCAAAGGCAGCTTCTACTGTAAAAAATCGGCAAAAAAATTAGCAAAATGTTGATTGAAACGTAGTCATGATATTGATGATAATAGTGTGATTAGGTCATAAAACTGTGACCAAAACATCAAACTTCAAATTGACTAATGATTCAAAATTAGATGGCCAAACTTCCCTCCCTCGTCATGCATGTATAGCAACAAAAAGATCTATTGATACATCCCTCTATCTGAAGATATTTTAATCTCCAAATCATGAAGATAAAATAGCAACATAGAGAATAATTAATTATTATAATCATTAAAATCAAAACATGATACAACTACAATGTAGCATGATAAACAACCACATATATATCTAACCTAACGCCAATAAATTCATCTACATTAACAAAAACATTTATATAACTAAAGCTTGTGTTGGTGCTTCAGTGCTTTCATGTTGCTTTGCACAATTCGTTATATGCAGAAATTGATTAGTATGGAAATAAAAAAAGTTCTCCCCACTCCTCAAAGTCAGAAAAGAAGCCTATTCATGAGTAGAAACTATAGAAAGTATCCAGATTTTCCTTGTTCCCTACACCACTCTAATAACCCTCCCTCCCTATCAAGATATGCATAAACATATCATGCATATGGGCTGTGTTGTGTCAAACTGACTTTGCAGGAACATTTAATTAAACTAAGCTATAAATACCAATATGTTTGCAGTTTCACCACAGAGCATAACTTTCAAGAATAGTGACTCCAATACCCAAACCTAGTCTTCTCACGAGGAAAAAGTTGGATCATTTTCTTAACTGTGAGGAATAATAAATGGTGAAGTCATTTCATTGTACATCTCCTATCAAAATCAATGTTCAGTGCTAGTTTAAATGACACTTAATAAACAAGAGATTTAACTTCACCTGTTCCCTATTTCGATCAACTCCTTTGTCATTCTCTGCAAAGTCAACTCTCAGTTGGCGTCCGTTTATCTCATAGCCTTGGAGATTGCGACGAGCACTAAGCGCTGTTTCTTCATCTTTGTACTCACAAAAGCCATAACCTTTAGGCCTTCCAGTTTCCTTATCAAGTACCAACCTGAAATAAGGTGAAGAATTGGCATCTAACAGATCATGGAACAGTATAAAAACTGCAAGACACACTATACAAACAACGCACTACATTCAAATTACCCTACTGATCTATTAGTACCTCATGTCATCAGCAAAAAAGAAAGAAAACATTTAACACTACATTCTCAATCCGAATTATAAGGATGACAAAATAGAGAAAAGCCTTTTGAAGGCAAACCATATCAAACAAAAGAGAGTTCACGTGGATGGAAAATAAAAAAGCATATCACTACATGCTCCTGAACTTGATAATTAAACTTTCCACACACACCCAAAAAAAAAAAAAGAGGTTAGTTCGAACTCAAAGCAAGTTAGTGAATTGATGAAATAAAAAACCCTACCCTAAACTTCTCAATCAAATAATTATTTCACAAGAACGCTAGACAAGATCTTTCCAGTTGATTTTCAATAACAATTGAACTAGGGATTTACAGACTGACCTGAAGGAGACTACGGGGCCAACCTCCTCGCAAATCTGTATCAGCTGTTCCTCGGTGGCATCGTAAGGTATGTTCCCAACTATACAGAAACAATTAAAAAGAAAACAAACAAGCATCAAACGAAATCTGGACACAGAAAGAAAATATAAGTAGAGTGTGAACAGCTCCCACACCGAAGACGCAGCGGTGCTGCAAGCCGGAGGTGGAAGCCATATCACAGTGAGCGATCGGGGCTTGCTGCCCCGCCGCCGGTGCTAGTATGAGAATCCAGCCAGCGGCCGCTGCGATCCGCGGCCATTTTAATGCTGGGGAAAAATAAATAAAAAATTTGTCATATGGCTCGGCCTCGCGCGCACTTACGACTTAGGAGACGACTTGTGGTCGCTGTATCGCCATAAAGCTTTCCAATTTCGTTTCGGAGTTATAAAAAAAAAAAAAAAAATTTACGTACATACCACATAAAATCTACTATTTACTTACATGACGCTTAAACCTTAGTACTTACATTGAAGCCCCTGAACCTTGGAAGGACACATGCGTACCAATCTAAGCTAATCTATTATGGATGCTGATGCGTGCTGGAAAACCCACAGTGATAGAAAGACGGATTATCGTCTTAGCATTGTATGAGAATTCAGCACACACACAGATGAAAAAGGAAAAAAACAAGCAGTGATGACTCCATAAAATTTTACGTGAAAAACCTGGAAAGGGAAAAAACCACGGGGTCTGACCCAATTGCAAAAATTCACTATTGATTGATGATTACAGAGTCTCATTATCCCACATATGAGAAAATGTTACTAGCTTTCCAAGTTATAACATCGACTGACGGCGTCTAGTTAGCGGTAGTTGACGGTCGACGGAAGCCAGCGGTGATCGGCGATGGTCGACAGTGGCCGGCAGTGGTCGACGGTGGTCGGTGGTGGTCGACAAAGGTCGATGGAGGTCAGCGACAGTCGGTGGGGGTCGACAGGGGTAGGTGGTCGCCGACAGAGGTCAATGGTGGTCGACGGTAGTCGAGGATGGTTGATGGAGGTCAGAGATGATCGGCGGTGGTTGACAGAGGTCGACGATGGCAGAAATGATGTTGGACTTGAGCACTTTCGCAAAGCCTCAAGTTCTCTCTCCAGCCTCCCCTCTCATGTGAGTGGCAGGGCTCTATTTATAGTATTCTGTCTGCAATTAATACAGGAATATGAAAAATTTTAGTCAAACGGTCTAGAAAGCTTCCCCAATCGAATGGCGTTTGATGAACATTTGAGTGCCTTAGTGATGTCGGAATTGAGCAATCTTGGGCTTGTTGGATTCGTCTTGTTGAGACGCTCGGTTCGACTATGAACTCGATGAATTTGACATTCGTTTGATCTTTCAAATGTGTCAGGAAATCTTTCAATATGGATTTAATAACTTGATCTGGGCTTGATTTGACTCGGATTGGACTAACTTTGATATCATTAGGTTCGTTTCATCAAGTCGATCAGTTTGACTATAAATTTGCTGAAATTAGAGCTCTGGATGACTTTTTATCAAGATTTGAATGTTTTCTGTTTAAAAAATAATATCGAGATTCGTGGCATGCCTCAAGATTCGTGTCGAATGATGAAAATTTGTTGGTGGCGTATCAGATGCCATTTCGGGCAGAGCTACAGTCGACTCAAAAAAAAATTCTACAACTTTGACTCGTAATTTTCTTATTTATTTCATTCGGATCTGGTTCGAGCCAAAAAATAAATTAATTTTCAAAAAAATTAATAATTTAAGATCTAAATGTAATAAATCCACAATCATAATATCGTTAGGAATATTAACAATCAACTTAAAAATTAACCGATCCAAAATTTTAGTTCGAGCCAAAATTAAACCAATTTTCAAGTGATTAAGGATACTCTAGCTAAATTCACACTCCTACTCTCCATTTACACCGTCACCTTCCTCGTCTCCCCTCTGTTTCAGGAGAAACTTTTCGATACGAAGTATGTACACAATTTCACGTGCGGACTCTAGTAATATGCAGTCATGTGTTTTATATCAAACCCACCTAAAAAAATTAAAGTGGAACCATGAAGATTATTTAAGTGGAATCGCGAAAGTTATTTGAGAGAGTTATTTGAGGGGTTATTGAGGGATTATTGGAATACTAACTCTAATAACATTACAATAACCCCTCAATAACTCCCAATAACCCTCCAATAATATCTAGGTTTCTCCAATAATCTCTAATCAACTCCACAGCTTCATTTCAACAACCTAACCCATCAATGAACCTCCAATAATTCCTTAATAATCCTGTATAACTTTCATGATTTCACATCAATAATTTTATAATTGTCTTGGAATATTATTGGGGTCCACATCGACCAGAAAACCCGCCTTCCATGCTCGCTGATCCAGCAGTCTGCACTTCTCCCCTCCGCCTTCGCTCCAGCACACCTCACAGATTGGTGAGAGAAACTCGTCTTCTCTCTTGCACTTCTACCTCTGCCTCCGCCCCAACATTCTACACAAAGGTAGATTCCCTAGGGCTTGAGATAATTTACGAAAATACAGATTCCCCTACTTCAAAAGCCTACTGCTTTGAGGATGAAAATGATCTGGAAGTGCAAGATCTTCCTGCCATGCTTCCAGTTTTGATAAAGGTCAGGACACTGAATTCAAAGATTTCTTACTATTGTCACTGATTAAGCTGAGCTTGTTAGATTCTTCTATTCATTTTGGTTATTAAACATGTAAAGATCTTTTGTAGTTGTTTGTGTTGTAACTTCTCTGTATGTCTGGGAGAAATGAGAGAGATGAGAATGTTGATGAACATTGTAATTATTCTCTTATGGATTTTCTCTTGCAAAATGCTAATGTCTTAAAATTTTGGAGATTTGTATCGACAAAATATTGGGACTTGCCATTAGTTTTGTAATGCAATAACAAAAACAGTTATATATCACCAAATGATGAAGGCCTTCTACTTTAAAGCCAAACAGCATACTAGAAAATGCAAAAAAAAGGAATCCTTTCATGAAGCAAATGATTATGAACAAAACTTTTTAGCAATTACTTCTCATAAAACTTGACAAAACCCAATCCTCATGAATAATCATTTGTGAAGTTCAAAACTCAACCAGTCGCATTTGTTAATTCCCACCATTATGCAATCTTTTACTGATTTGCAAAAAAACTGCATGTTCAGCTCAAACTGCTTCTAAATCCAGCTTTCTACAAATCTTATCACTCTGTCGTCTCGTTAAGTTCAAATTGGTCTCATTGGAGCAGGCATTCAAGTTTCTGCAATGCTTGACAACAATGGAGAAGATGAGTGTGTCTCTGTAGTCTTTGAGATAACTAGAATCTACCACCATGGTCTCATATATAATCTCTTTGAACTTAGTCAAGAAGATCATTTCAAGAAAGAATTGTAGATTGACTCCCAAAATTGTTGCTCCTCTTTAAAATATGTATTTGTCCATATTTGAAGGTGTATTTCATAATTTCCACCTTACTTTACATCAACATGTGTATTTCTCTTGTTAAAAGTGATTAATGCTTTTGAACAAATGTAAACATCCCAACATCCTAACTTGCATGGACATGCGGCTATCAGATGAAATTTTTCATGAGACATAAAGCTAACACGTGGAATTTTTCATGAGACATAAAGCTGACACATGGAATTTTTCATGAAACATAAAATTCACCGTGATATTTTTCATAAGACATAACACTGACCATTTGAACTTTTGTATAAAACATAAAATTACCACATGAATTTTCATTGCATGAAACATAACATAAAGGAGTTAGGGTTATGATTTAAGTCATAGGAAGCAGGATATATGTGTCATTTCTAAGGCAAAATTGTTGATAATTTTAATGAAACCTACTTCCTCAAATTAATAAATTTATTTTTTAAAATGTTAGTGTTATTTGAGGACAAGTAACGTTTAAGTTTGGGGATTTTGATATGTCATAAAGCATGCTTAATTTCCTTTATATTTTGCACATGTTTATAGATGAAATTCAATCGACCCCCAGGATTAGCACTTTTTAAAGTACTGGTAGAGGCACCAGAAACTTGATCTGCTTCCTGGCAAATAGGTTGAGATTTCAAAATTGGGTATTATTACTTATTGGGGTTTCTCACGCAACTATATGTATCGTTTCAATAATATAGGACTCCATTGAGTCCAGATTGTTGATTCCATAAAGACTAAGGTAACGAGTCTAATAAGATAGGTTTTAGTCTACTACACTAAGGACTCAGTTTGGAATGTCGATTAAGGTTAATTTTCCTAATAGGTACTCCTAAGTTTAGATTATGTGACTATGTTTAGCCTATCTAGATCAATTAGGTTGGTTAATATCAAGATATAAAAGCTACCCTTCTTTTGTGATTGTATAAGTAAATTGTTGGATCGAATATTATGAATTGCTAATGTACATAGTGAAAAATAGGAAAATTCATCTTTTTGCCCCTCTATCAAATGTATAAAGAAGTTTGGTGAATCTAGTATTAATTCCTTAAACCCTAGATGACATTGGTTACGACTCTAGCCTATCACCCTATAGTCTCCAATTTATACCTCAATTTGGCTAACCTAGTTTTAATTCATTGAACACTAGATCAAATTGGTTTGGATTCTAGCCTGTCACCCTAAAGTCCCCAATTTACACCCTTCAAAGTTTATTTCTCAATATATTTGCACTGTCTTATGGACTACTTTTCCTTCACCCACTAGTGCAATGTGATTTTTCCTAGTTGAATGAAGTCATAGCCCTCCCAGATCTTATGGGTTCACAACAAATTTTAACAAACCAACTGATCAGATTGATAAGTAAATTAAGCATGAAACTTTGAACTTTAAAAAAGCTTTCACCAAGGTCTTCCTTAACTCTGAGGGCAGAAGAAGAGCATCATAGAAGCTTAAAGATGCTGGCAACAACTTAAGGTGCACTAGAACATTATAATATACCTTTTTGGTAGGATTTATAGTTAATTTGCTCTAGGCAAGGACCTCATGAGGATCATCTGCCACTTGAGTGATGAAGTCCTTCCCCTTATTGTTGGGAGTGTGTTTAGTAACTCTCGAAGGAAGGAGTTTGCCACTTTGCAAACGGACCTTCTGAATATCCTCGCTAAGGGACCCATTGGGCTCGACTAATGGAACATTCAGGTTAAGGACTCTATGAGAGAGCCATGAGAAGTAGACGTCTCACCCACACTGTCTGATGAATCACTCAGATCATCATGAATGCGGTAAGCGTCGTCGAAGGAGTGCAATAACTGATATTGCTCATCCCCTTTGTTATGTCATTTGTGTCACATTTATGAGTGCAAACCATAAAACATGAAACACATAAAAGTACTCAAAAATATCTTCTTTTATTGATTCATAAGCGTCATAAAAGACATCAGTGTGAATGAGCTCTTGCTCTGAGCTGACATTTGCATGAGAACAAAAAGAAGGTACATCCGTAGCAACATGTGTAGTAAATGCAATCGGAACAGCTGTAACAGCTCTGGCTGATCCTCTTCCAAGATGCTTCTCCAAATATTGATCCATAATCTTGATCTTTCCGGCTCTGTGGCGGGTTTCAAGCTAGTTCTTGAATACATAGCAGTTTTCTAACACATGACTCAAGTGTTTATGCTAGTGGTAGTAGTCAAGCTTTTTGAATTTCTCCACCTCCTAGGGTTTTCTTTGTTGGGAAAGCTGCATACCCTGTTTGATCAAGTTTTTAAAGATCTTCCTAAGGCACTCTTTTTTAAAAGAATACACCTTAAGCTTCTTTTTCTCTGAAGACTGGTTCTTCCATTTCTGGAAAGGCGAGTGAGCTTGTTCGACATATGGGATAGGCTTTTTCAGCCTACTATCAATTGTTATCAAAGCTAAGCTCTCTTTCGTTCTTCTTGAAGTCCACATATTTTTAGCTTTATCACCAGACTTAAGAACCACAAATCCTACAATGTCTTGCAAACAGACTACCTTCTTTATCAATGCCTTAAACGTTTTGATAGGAGTTATTTTCAATAAGACAAATATGAGGCCTTTTATCTTGCCCACGAGGACTACGATGACATGCTGCTCCTGAAGGAGAGGTTCTCCCTTCATACTCAAATTTATCCAAAAAGACAAAGTTTACTAAAGACTTGTTGGGCTTCCATTGGGTCAACAATAAATCACTCATGGTGACCTGATGTTGAGCGTCGATAAAGCGTTTCACAAACGTGTCATCTAATTCGTCGAACATTCTGATGGTGTGGTTTAAATTATGTGATATTTTTGTAACTAATTTATTTTTATAATAAGTTTGTCTCCCTCTGAAAAAACAAGTAGCTTTCGCCCCTGTCGTTAGAGTAAACTTTCCAGCTTTAAATTTATTTTTTGTAGTTTCAATTTGCCATATTTTTTTTTCTGGGTCTAGGTAATTGTTTCTTTATTATATTTTAATTTCTTTAAGTTATTTTCTTATTTTTTTCAGTTTTATCAGTTGATTGACTCTTATTTATGAAATGAAATAATTTTTATATTCTCTTGCTTGTTTTCATTGTTGTCATATAATAATTTTTTTCAAGTATGCAAAATAGATTAATATTATTTCATCATGTTCTACGTGGAATATATTACCTTTCAGATCCGTGGTGTGGCATGTATGGATGTATCAGCATTTAGAAACTACAAAGTCCTAATTATACTTATGATTTCTCAACTTTCGAGAGATTTTTTTTTGGGGAAGAAATTATTTTTAAAAAAAGATATTAGATAGAAAATTTATTTAAAAAATTTTAAAACGAAAAGGCCACCAATTACTTCAGCTGTAACAGTTTATTGACTTTTATTTATGTAATGAAATAAATTTTGTCTTTTCTTGTTTATTTTCATTATTATTTTTATGTAATCATTCTTTTTGAGGATACAAAGTAGGTTAACATCTTTTCATCATGTTCTGTGTCATCGGTGTATACCTCTTTCGGATTCGAGGGGTGGCATGTACATATGTACTAGCATTTAGAGACTATGAATTCCTAATTATAAATTATAACCTCAACTTTTGAGACTTTTTTTTTAAGAAGAAAAGATTTAAAAAAAAAAAATAGATAGAATATTTATTAAAAAAATATTAAAAAGGAAAAAGCCAGCAAATACATGTGGATTAGTAGCCAACTTAATCTTTTCACTAAATCTTTTTAAAATAAAGTTATCTTGGAGATAACTATTGTAGTGAGTTTACATATCTAACACTTCAACATTTTATACAAACCATTCAATTTTTATGTATTGACATATCTAACAACTATACTTCAATCTTTTACATACATAACACGTCATGTGTGCATGAAAAAGATGTATTTTATTTTTTTAAAGTAATAAAGATGTATTTTTGATGTGATATGAAAGATTTGAGTCGTATAAAAATGAAAAAGCAAAATTTAAATATATAGCGATTTTTTTGTATGCATGTAAATGCCCCAAAATTATTTTGCCCAAATGCCGGGTTGCAATGCGTTCCCTTCTCACATTATATAACTAGCCGTTGCGTTGCAACTGAGGAATCCGGACCAACGGTCAAATTTTCAATTTAGAGCTTGGATTTCAAAAAAAATTTTTCCGAAACGCCTCTTTTTAACTTTCTGAGCTCTAATTAAATAATCATAAAACTTCCAAAAAAAATCATCTCTTTTCGAAAATAAAAATCTGTCTCCTGCCCATTTTATCACCTATACTCCAATCAGATCAGGATCACAGGAAGAACCGTCTCACCCCATCTTTCCAGTCTCTCATTCTCTCCCATCACTGAAGAAGAAGCGAGCTCTAAAAAGCAATGGAAGATGCCAAGATTCCGGTGTTCTCCGTCCTAAAGAAGGGCGCCGTGCTAAAGAACATCTTCCTCAACAGCCCTCCTCCTGAAACTGGAAAACCCTTATCTCCATCACGAGATAACGATCCCATACTGATGGGCCGGCACCCGGACTGCGACATCGTCGTCGATCACCCGAGCATCAGCCGTTTCCATGTCGAGGTTCGCCCGAAATCTTCACTGCAGAAACTCTTTGTGACAGATCGCTCGTCAGGTTTGTTTTCCTTGCAACGTGCACTCTTCTTGTTCGATCTTTTTCCCTAAAGAATGGATGTCGTTTGTTCTGTACCTGATGCTGTTTTTTCTGCTGCAGTTCACGGGACTTGGGTGTCAGGTAAGAAGATTCAGCCCAACATCCCTATTGAATTGATCGAAGGAGATAGTCTTCGGCTTGGGGCTTCGACGAGGATTTATCGACTCTATTGGATGCCATTGAGCCAGGCGTTTGAGATGAACAAGCCGATGTCACCATTGATTGAAGAGGCTTCAGATTTCATGGATAATGACGAAGTATTTCAGGTTCGTTTTTTTTCCCCCCTTTTTTGTGAAAAACACTTGCTGAAGTTCAGACTTTTTGAGTGTAGCTTATATGGTTTACTTTGGTTTTATTATCTAGGATGAGAATTTGAATGAAGTAGGTGTAAGCAATATAATACCATCTGCTCCTCCTATGATGGCTTCATCTCCTGGGAAGGTCTTTTCTCTGGATTTGGAAAAAGGAGACCAGATCTTGATAAGCCAAGAGATGTTAGAGCAGAACTCATGCTATACTTCTATGGTTCCTTTTTTAGAATCTATGGGCACTTCGTGGCCCTTAAAGGAGGAGATTGGAGCCAAGAATATTTTTCCTAATGAGATGCAGCCTGAAGGAGAAGGGCCGAGCCCATTCAGATCTGATAAGATAGTTAAATCATCAAGTCTTTTGTCAAGGAGGAACAAGTCCATTAGCTTTCTTCAAATTGAGAACACGAGCGAAGAAATCAGGAGTGAGATTAGAAAAATTAAAGAAGATTTGGGCATTGAGGAACAGATGGCTGGAGCTTTTGCTGGTGGGAGTGGAGAGGAGGAGATCCACTTGGTTCTCTTAGCTGAAGGTAATGTGAAAGAGGAGGAAGAAGAGTCCTTTATTTCAGACAAGGCAAATATGACTCCAGGAGACTCTATTGGCTCCAAGTTACCGAAGGGCAACCAAAAGATTGAGAGATCACCGTTGAGTTCCTTCAACTTATTCCATAAAAAAGATTTGGGTGTGAGTGGAAATGGAGAGGAGATTCCCTCAGTTTTGGTGGCTGAAGGTGACGTGAAAGAGGAAGAAGAAGCGACATGTTCTTTAGATGACAAGAAAACTACTCTAATAAACTCTATTGGCTCTGAAGTACTGAAAAGCAACATAGAATTGAATAGCTCATTGTTGATTTCCTTAAACATATCAGATAAACATGATTTAGAGATAGAGGAACAGAAAGTTGAAACTTCTGCAAGAGGAAAAGGAGTGGAGAAAATCCCCACATTTTTCATAGGTGCAGATCATGTGAAAGAAGAAGAAGAGACGCTTGTCTCAGACAAGGATAGCATTACTCTAGTAAACTTTATTGGCTCCAAGATATTGAGAAGCAACAGTGAGAGTGAGACATCACCACTGAGTTCCTTGAGCACATTTAATCTGGAAGAACATCCTTCTAATTCAGACAAAAGGAATCCAACATCTGTAGCAACAGAGCATTCTAATTCAACTAAACTCAAGTCAAGAAGTCGTTTGATGAAGGAGAATGGAGAATCACCCTTATCAGGTGCCAAAAGCTTGGAGAGTGTATTCTCTCCAGGAAGAAAGTTGCAAAGAAGCCTATTTAAAGCAGTGCGATCTCCTCTAGGTCAAAAGAAAAATTTGAATTTGGAAGATGATAGATTCCTTTCAGATAAAGAGAACTGGACTCCTAAAGTTCCCAATTCTTTGAAGTCGGGGAAAGCCTTTACTAGAGATATCCTGAACGCTGAAAGTGAAGAAAACGAAACATTTGCATCAGATAAAGAGAATCTAACACCACAAAGCTCAATAGCCATTAAATCAAAGAATGCAGCCTCACAAAACCATGGGAAAAAGGAAGGAGAAAGTACGAGGAAAAAGAAAGAAAGAATCCCATTTCAGCCTCTATTTGTGAGCTCTCCTTTGCGAAATAGCAGTCCTGCGAGCTATGCGGAAGGTCTAGATGAAACATTCGGCAACAATGGTGTTATCCATAATTTAGATGCGGAAGCACCTGAAGTAAGTTTTCAATTTGAGCCTTTGAATGCATTTTTCGAATTTCCTTAATTCTTATTTAACTGAGTTCAATTGTTTGTCAGAGCAAACAAAAGAAAGAGCTGCCGCAGGTGTCAGGAAGAGAGAAAAAGAAATGGTATATTGTGGTGGATGTTGGCTGCTTCCTCATTGAAGAATCCAGAAAATCACTCCAACTTTTAGAAGGTATCAGAGGGACCCAACTAATAATTCCAAGGATAGGTAACCATACTGTCCTTACCTTGAAAATCTATCTTGTGATTCAAATTTAAGTAAAGCTAAATGCATCTGATCTATTTATTTTGCATATTGCTTTTTTCTTATAAAAATATAGTAAAAACATGGCAGGAAAAGATGATAAAGAAGTAGATGGGCTATACAGAAGGCGTGATTTTTTACTGTTGTTGTCTTTTATTTTTAAGATGAAAAATTTTAAAAAGTGGAAAACATCTCATCCAGGAGGTCTAAAATTTGATACTATTGGATTAAATATTGTCCCACTCTTGCTGAACTTTTAAATTTAAAAACAGGAAAGAACATGATTTCAAAATAGAGTCAAAGAATAGTGGCCATTCAAGTGTTGCGGACTTGCTAAAGTTTCCTAAATCATTTTTAAGGAAGTGTTTTTTCGATTTGATGATATCTTTATTATAATATTTTCAAATTATTCTTCATTTTGTTGAAATTTTTTATTTTTGATATCAAAATTATGACTCATCTTCCCCAAATTTGTATTTAAAACTATAAATCTGTAATAATTTTTGTAGGATCAACCATAAAAGGCCTCATGTGCACAATTGAATTATTGCTCTCATTACTGGTTTTTTTTTCTTGTTGACATAAATACACATAATATTACACAACATTAGACACTATGATCTAAAAACCACAAACTTTTACTTGTTTCATGCACTTAATAATCCCCTTTCCCTCTTCTTTAGTTATTAGGGAGCTCGACCACCTCAAAAGATGCCAAGGCATACTAAGTAGAGGGACAAAGGCTTCTTCAGTTTTGCAATGGATAGAAGAGAGCATGATGAAAACTAGTTGGTGGATTCATGTTCAGAGCTCATCAGAGACTTTCGCTGCCGCACCAACACCCCCCGCAACTCCAAGATCACAGCTTTATGATGGAAGCTCGGGATTTAGCACCGCTACTTCATCAAACTTCTATGGTTTCTCCACATGCGGAAGCTTTATGGAGATTGTTTCCCCAACAGCAGAAGACCACATCCTTGACTGTGCTCTTCTGTTCAAGAAAATGAAAGATGATGGCGAGTTAATGCTGCTAACTAGTAGTACCACACTGAGGATCAAAGCCATGGCTGAGGTGAAGTAATATTAGCATTCACGTACATACCACACAATTCTTAAGTATTTCATATCTAACACCTAAACTTGGATTTTTACATTTATACCACCCAAATCTTTCATATTGCATCCGAAACGCCACCATTTTAACTTTTAAAGAGCGAAATAGAAATTTTCATGAATAAGTAAGGTGGCATTGTATATAAAAATTTAAGCTTAGGTGTTAGATATGTAAATGTATGTAAATCTTCCTTATATTTATTGTACTGATCTGATTTGGGGATTGATTATTTATTTTAACCTTTTACAGGGATTGTTGTGTGAGACACCCAAGGAATTTAGAGAGAGCCTCGTGAATCCATTGTCAAAGAGATTTCTGTGGGCAGATAGTTGTAGTCCAAGAGGATCAACTTGGTCTTGCTTAGAAGAAGTTGGTCTGTTTGAAAATGGTCATCAACAATTTACGTCTGCAAGAATGGCTAAAGTAGAAGGAAATGTTAAGGGATTGAAGCTCGTTCTTCTGCACGGTAACCCTCATTGTGGAATGACCAACTTGGTCTCATGAACAACTGAGATGTCTTTAAGCTTTACAGTATTATATCTTACAAACCATTTTTTGTTTTCTGTTGTGTTGAACATGTGCTGTTCTGCTATTAACGATTAGAGATTCTATGATTTCTTCAGTTCAACTCACTCAAATATTTTGGACTCGTAACTCAAAGTTTAAATTTATTTTGGGATGAGTTTCATATGTAAATAATCTATCTGTCTAAATCTACAGGCACCGTAAAGCCAATTTATCTCCTTCTAAGATGTTAATCAAAGTATATTACATAATTACCGAATTTTCAAAGTAGAAACCAATGACAAGTTAACTCGATCTATTTCAACACAGTTTGCAAATTAGATCCTTACTAGAGCTGGTGGTAATTTGTATCGAGTTCATATGAATGAAATTTAGTCTCAAATTATTTGTTACTGAAACTTCTGTCAGTCTCTATCCAAAAGAGATGGATACAGTTTCTTTTACAATGATGTCCTTGTTTGTGAGATAAAAGAGACAGAATCAAGTTGAAATGTATATTAGCATTATATTTCCTTAATAGGTATATATATATATATATATTGAAAAGGAATAGTTGGTGGCAATTAGACGAGTCACGGCTACGTACGCACACATGTATACATATTGAAAAGGAATAGTTGGTGGCAATTAGACGAGTCGCGGCCATCCCTAGGTGTGCTAAATATTCGAGTACCACACCCTATACACGAAGGGATTTTTGTTTATATCTTGATTTGAATTAATTAATTAATTAATTATATATATATATGTATGTATATATAGACTAACACACTTAAAGAAAGAGTTAGAAAAGAGGAATTAACATTAGGGAACAGAGAAAGAATTCATAAAGAAATGAGTATCTGAGGATGTTCGAACCATTTTCTTGTAATGTTAACTCTTATCTGATCGATTAATAGAGAACTCATAAAAATAGTTTTTAACCTCTGAGAATCAGTAGTGACTTAGTCACTTTTGGAGATTGTTTTCTTAACATTTGATTTCATGCTTTGGTGATGTTGAGTTTCTTGACTTGGAAATATAAGAAAATAGATTGAACCTTTCATAATCAATTCATGTTAATAGCATAGGAAGATCTTAGCTTGATTGTAACTAACCAAATTGATAATAATAACTCTGGTTCAAATCATACATCATCCGTGCCCTCATCAAAGCATTTTTACCTATTGGTTTAGTCATTGGCTTTAATGGGTTGTGTCTCACACTAGAATTTTATAGATCTTATCATAGTCTTTATGGATGTAAATATTTAGACTTGCCACTGGAAAGGCTCACACACTACTTATTGAATATCTGGTTGCAAAGGAGAGTCCTACTTCTTAGCCTTAACATGTGTTCTGGGAGTTGGGGTGGAAAGGTTTTACTATCGCTGAATGTTGATGAGCCTTCATACTTATTCATAAATTATGGCAATATTTCATTACGAGTCCTTAGCAATTTCTGAATATAACTGTGAATTTTTGTTAGTGTTTGGATAAACCTAACATGTCCTAAAACATCGAGAGGTAGTAATGAGGGTAAACCCTGAGCAAATTCCCTGAGCATTAAAATGAAAGATGCAATCATTGTCATGTAATGGTCAGCCATGATACTTAGACATATAAGTGCTCCTAATAATGAAGATGATGCGTTAAGGAATAATTGGCCTGAAGAAATAGTGACATTAATGTCAAATTTAATTTTCCCCCACCCCACAATTAGGGGTGTAAACGAGCCGAACACGAGCGAGTCATGCTCAGAATTTGAAGAAAAAAAAAATTGTTCGTTTTCGGCTCGTTTTCTTAACGAGCCGAACACGAGCTATTCATGAACTAAGAGTCCTTTTAACAACTCTAATCATGTAGTCATAAGACGATAAGGGTTTGAACAAGATTTAAAAATTATTAGTTATATTAATACATCATTTGAATCTAATTTAATAATTTTTATTTTATTTTATTAATCAATATTTTAATTGATTATAAATCTTTGTAGTCTTGTAGTCAATTATATATATAGTATTTCGAGCCAAAACGAGCCGAACACGAATGAACACATCTTAGTTCGTGTTCGGCTCGTTAACTTATCAAACAAAATTAACGAGCCGAACACGAGCTGTTCGCAAACAACGAGCCGTTTTGACAGCCCTACCCACAATGCTCATTTCTCGGCTATAAATAGTAGTGATCTCTTTTCATTTTTGGTGGAAAGCTAAGGATAGAGTGTTTCACAGACTCGATTGAAGAGGGAGAGGATGAGCAAATTGTCTGTTCTCACCTTCATATTCCTAACTTTTTGTTTGTTGTTATTTGAATTGATGGTCCTCAACTATCAGCACCCTTCCAACAATAGCAAGATCATGATGCCCAAAATTACTGCGAAGTAAGTCGGTCAACCACGTAAGTATACATGTCAATCAAGTAATATATAAATATCGAGTCAGTGTATCGATCCCATGAGGAAAATGCCCAAAAAGATTTCTAACAAATGAAGCTCTAGTTAACTACACTATTGAACCTAATTGAAGTGATCTCAGTTGCATGAATGAAAGTCTATCAATTTAAAGAGAAACAAGCAAAACAGGAAAAAAGAAAGGAAACAACAGAAAGTAGGGAGTACTTGAGCGTCCTTCAAAGGAAGTAGGGCTCATGCTCCTATGACTCAGGTAGAGTGTTTTCTCGTTGTTGTTCTATGAATTCTCCTACGTGATAGCTGTCAGGCAGGGATAACGTTATTCTTAGCCTATGTCTATGTCAAAAAAAGAGTTGAAAACCATATTATAGTTAAGTGGGGCTTAACTATGGTGTGTTTCCTAGGACCCTTCAGATCCCCTATCATGGTTGTAGTTTCATTATGGCAATATGTCTCTTTCACTAGATTATTGTATGTTAACCTACTTGTTTCACTAAGTGACGGTTAAGCATCTTAGATCAAAAGAGTTTTTAACATCTTAATTGATCAGATCAAGAGTAAATTATTTGTTGAAGGTTAACACAACAACATGCATAATTCAATAACACATAACTTTTACTTGCTTTAAAATTTAAGGTTTATTGATGTTTGTTAAGGTTGGTTAAGAATTATTAATGTTTGTTGAATTTGAGTTTCTTAAAATTTATTAAGGGTTATTAAAGTTCATTAAAGTTTATTAAAATTTATAAAAATTCATCTAGTTTTGTTAAAATTTATTTAAGTTTGTTAAATCTTATTTAATATTGTTATAGTTTGTTAAAATTTATTTAAGTTTGTTAAAAGTATGTTAAATCTTATTTAACTTTGCTAAATTTTAATATTAGCTTATTATAGTTGATTTAAGTTAAAGTTAATTATAGTTTATGAGATTTAGTTGAAGTTTATCAAGTTAAATTTGAGTGAAATTTATTATATAAGTTGGTCGAAATTTGATAACTTCGAATCAGGTATAAGATATTTTTTTCATTTGACTTCAAATATTTAGATGCAATTGCAACTAGTTTATCATATTGTGCCAAAACACACCATAAACCTTTCATTAGTATAATATTAAAAAGCATTCAATACAAAATAATATAAACAATATATGTGATAATTTTAACTAAGAGATATAAAAACTACTTTCATGTTCTAATGTTCATTTAAATAGCATTATTTTTTGTGTTGGTCTAGATAACGGAATTACAATTAAGAAAAAAAAAATCCCTTATTCTTTAAGTGTATAACATACATTAAAATTATTCATTTTCAATACATTAATCGGCCATGATCATTTTGTAACAACTTGCACTTACTGATGATCAAGAGCTATCTCATCTCTACTCACTATCTTACCCAAAATAAAATTCATAATAACAACTCACATTTAAAATTTTAGCATATCTTATTTTATGTTAATTTCCTTAGTACCAATATAAATGAGTTGCATGATCATCTTTATATTTGGAATATAGTAATAGATCATCACTAAACATAATGACAAAGTAATCTAAATATAAATAAAGTCACACACTAATCTATGTATACTTACAAATGATCTAGATACCTTAGTCACACCAACAAGCTTAAAAAAAAATTTATAATGACCATAGCATTTATTAAATGTTATTATTATTGCATCATTCACTTTCATCATCATTTAGTGAATTTATGATCATAAATCTTTCTTTAAAAAAGAAAAAAAAAACACCTTCTAGCTAAACAATTCTGTTTTTCGTATGTTTTTGCTAAAAAATATAATCACAACAAAATGCAATAAACAACTAATATTTAAAACTAAAACATCACGTTTGATTAAGGTTTGGAAATGTTTAATTTAGATTCAAACATAAATTTTAATGATTTAAACCATATTCAAATCAACTTCAAACATGCTCTATCAAAGTACAAATAAAGTTTCGATTAAATTGTTAACCTTGCAATGCACTTCATGAATGCATTCTTCAATTCTACATTCTCAAACTTCTTATTATCATCTAGGTAGTTATGAATCAACATATTGCTTAAGAGCATCTCCTTGCACTTCCCCTAAGAAGAAAATTCTCCAAACAAACTCAAAACTAAAAGCAAATTCTCCAGTTTAACTCTAATGTTCTTTTCTCCAATGTTGAATTTAATAGGATATCTAACATTTCTTTCATCAACAAGCATCCTTAACAAAATTTGATAAATTAAAGCCTCAAAAGACTACAATTTATGAGCATTAAAAAGTTATTGAAATATCAAAACTTTCAAATTATACCATAATTATATTTATTATACTTCTCACTCTGAAAGTGGTCCAAACAACATAATGCATCTATACAAATATGATTAGCGGAGACATCAATATATATCAACTCAAATGAATCAATTTCATACATGATAATAATGGGGAATATATATATATATATATATATAATCACATTCTAATATGACGCAGATAGGGTTCAAGTTATGTAAGTATCAAATTCTATTGAAACTTTTTATGTTATCTCAATATTGATGCTAATAGTCAAATCCTAAGTTGAATATAGTTGAGGCTTATTTAAACCTAATTTTCATGTTCAAAATTTGTTTGAATTAGGCTCAAATAAGATTTAAATATATAATGTGATGTTCAAATTTAAGCTCAAACCCTATACCATCATTTAAAGTTCATTTTCAAACTTAAGATCTTAAACTAGTGTTCTAATTTCTTGTCTGGATATGGTTATAAAGTTATACTTCTTCCTATTATAACAAAAGAGGACTAAGAGTAAATGAATTATAACTCAAGTAAATAAAATATTAAAAAATTATGTTTGGAAAATATATGCTACTAAAGGCTTCAAATCAAAGCGGCGTAGGGAAAGCATGCTCGACACAAAAAATTTGAGCAAACATCAATAGGAGAATTAACATTCTTCATCTAATTTTATTTTGATGTCATGACATCAAATATAAGATCTAAAGTGTGCATTCTTTTCAGCACATAAAAATTAATGGAAAACATAATTTCAATACTAAATAAACAAAAATATCTCAGCATCAATCCAACCATATGCATAAAACTTTTTTATAATGAATAGTTGTAATTGCATGAAAAATAATTATGTTTTCCTATTTGTAGAGACTTTCAAATGTTTTGAGTCAATTAAGTGGCTTGTTGATGATTATGACATATAGTATAAGGTTTTAAAAAGTAAAATAGATGACTAAACTTGATTTTTAAAAGGTGCATACTTGTCATGAGCATGTTTGTATATCTATCTCATGTTTGAAAATGATTAGATTATCATGGGAATTAATGACCCCCTCAATTCTCTTTTAAATGCTATGTTAATGATTACAAGATGCAATTTTGATTTTGAAATTACATACAGTGATAGAAGTAAAAATAGAATTAAGAAAGTAATCATTTTGCCAAAGAGAAAATCACACCTAATTCTTTTCATTTTTCACATCCACTCCATAAACAACAAAAATCTCAATCCTATTATTTTAAAAATCTCAATTTTAAAACATAAAAAAGACACCTTTCATTTTCCACCACATATAACAATTAAGAATTTCAAATTCATCGGCCTAAAAAATAAATAAGAAAAAAACCCAAGGCCCAAATTTCAAATCAAACAGAAATTACTGCACTACTTCACCTATTAACAACAGCCATGAATAATCAATCCATACCACCCAATTCCTATATATTTACATACCGTACACCTAAAATTTGCTTTTTTTTACATTTATACCTCCCAAATCTTTTTTATCACATCAAAAATATCATCTTTATAACTTTCAAAGAGCGAAAAACGCATTTTTCATGCATGGAAAAAGTGGTGTATATATATGTAAAAATCAAAGTTTTAAGTGCTGGATTTGTAAATACATTGAAATTGAGTGGAATGTATGTAAATTTTCTTAAAAGAAAAAGGATTGGCCGAACACAAACTAGAGGAGGAAGGCTCCTCGCTCAGCTTATCATCCCAACCCTCAAAAACCATCTCCACCATTAAATCCCGAACCCATTCTCCACCTCACAATTCATATCCTGCTCTCAATTTCCCTCCACCCTACATTACTTAAACTTTCCTGCAGAAAATTTCAGAGCAAGAGAGACATAAGAGCACAGAGAAAGAAATAGATAACTTTCTCTCTTGCTTTTCTTCTTCTTCTTCATTATTATCATCAATGGCGTCTGCTACCATTCTCAAGTCTTCTTTTTTGCCAAAGAGATCAGACTGGGCGGGTGCCGGTCGGCCGGTGATTGCTCGTCAGCCGGCAGCCGTGCATCTCACCGTCCGTGCAGGCTCATATGCAGATGAACTTGTTAAGACTGCTGTAAGCTGCTATCTGTATAGTACTGTTCTTTTTTTTTTTCAGAAGTAAATGAGCAAATACGGAAATTACGTAGCATGTAATTCAGAAGATTTGCAAGATTTAGTATTGAAAAGCCATTAAGAAAATGAAAAAAATTAATTTGATAATTGCATGTTCATAATCAGCTAGCAAGTTATCAAGATTTTGCAGAAGCTGGCTGCACTATGATGAACGGATAGCATATATGTTTTCATTTGTTTCGCCATCTTTGGTAGGCAGATGATTTGGGCTTATGCTTTGTTCATATAGGCTCCGTTAGCGTTTGGCGTAGCAATGGGGCACCGCGTCCCTGTTTTGGCAGTTTGGCAAAACTGCGTTTTCACAGTTTTTCAAAAAGTTATCCGCTGAAACCTTGCGGTGGGAGTCTGGCGTTTTTAAAAAAAAAAAATTGTAATAACCACCACAATTTTTTGTAATATCAGACTATTCTTTGGCGTCTTTATAGCAGCTTTTTAACAAATTGCACTGCCCAAAACGGAGCCTTAAACTATTTAATTGTTGTTTTTAGTTCACGGGTTTGTCTGAATCAAATCAGATTCAATGATTACTCAGTTTGGATTATTGCTTATACTTCTTTTCTTTTTTTCTTTCTTTTTTTTTTGTAGAATTTATTGGGTGTCAGACCATAAATCACTGTTAGAATCCTTCTAAATGTGATTCCAAATAAAATTATCATTTTCTGAAATGAATTTCTTGTCCATAACCACAAAATGAACCCTTCAGAGCTCGAAAAAATGCTTTTCCCCACTATCCATTCTAAGTCACTTGCCCAACAAAAAAAAGGTCTTTACATGAACTAAAAGAAAACTAAACTGAACGGTAATTTGGGAACAGTCTTGATTTTTAATTTTTATTTTTTTATTTTATTTTATGTTTTGATTTATTACAAAACAGATTTGATATGATAGAACATGTTTAATTATTTTTTTAAACAGTAAAAATATTTTTTAGATAATTTAAATATTTTTTAAAAATAATCTAATTTATTTTTAAAAAAATAAAAAATACAAAAAGTGCACTAAACAGATATATTTTTAAAATAAAAATAAAAAAAAAACCAAAATAAATCCTAACAAGCCCTAAAAAATCTAATTCATCAAGAGTCAAATAATCAAATGAATGCAAAATTCTACTCATTTCAAATTTTAATCTTATTCAATTGGTACATAATTGGAATGTCAATTGAAATCGAAAAATCAAACTTTTCTCTTTCGAGAGAAAACTCGTTGCTTCAAAACTAAATTTTATCGTTGGTATATATAACCCAACATTAATCCCTTTTGATGTCATTATTCGGGTTGGAAGACGTTATACATCGACAACATAGTGTATGATGAAATGAAATGAAACTGTTTTTTATTCTCAAATATAAAAAATTTATTCAAGTAATATCAGCACTAAATAAAAAAAGATAATTTTATTCCATAAATAAGAGTCTAACTGATACAACTTAAGGAAAAGTAGAAATGACTAAAGTAAAAACTGCAATAAGAATAACAAACAACTACCCAATACCCAAAAGAAAAAAACATGACTAATGCAAAATTGACAATACCCAAAAGAAAATCTAGCAATGAAAAGTCTGATCCTATGTAAACGATTATGCAAATCAAACTCAGTAAATGACTACTATTTATTAAATCATAAACGACAAAAAACGGAATCATGTAGTATGAACAATAAGAAGAAATAATTTATTATACGCATATACAAAATTCAATGAAATATAATTGTATAGTATAAATCAAAATGAGTATGTTCAATTTATTTAATAAAACATACAATGGCTAAAATTACCAATGCATGTCATAATGGTCATTGATTTTCATTTTAATTTAAGTTTATAAGTCAGTTGATCAGACACCCTAAAACCAGAAAAGTCAATACTAACCCAAGAAAACCTGACAATTTCTTGTAGAGTCGTCATTCTATGAGTCAATCGATTCGGCTAGTCAATATCCAAAAGTGTTTCACTTGACCTATATACATTCACACACACAAAAATACCAAATTTCTAAATATTTCCACTAATAAATATATAAAAACGATATGAGAACATCTTTACTACTTCAACTATGCTAAAAATATGTGCAAGCTAAGAAAGATATTTATTATAAGATTCAAATCTAATATGTAGGAAACTATGCAGCAATAAGAGAAACGATCATAAGATTCAAATCTAATATGTAGAAAACTATGCAGCAATAAGAGAAACGATCACTTCATGATGAGCAATCAATAAATCTAATAACAAGTGTAAAGCGATGTAACTAACACAAAAAGGACAATACTGTAATCTTACAAATTATTATGAATCTAATTCAAGCAACAAGAATAACACCCCTAACTAGGAATTGTACGTTTATCCCACAATAAAAAATGATTATTTACCTCAAGACAGCAACAATGAAACTTACGAATGTTTCAGTGATTCAACTAGCATTGACAAAGTCCGACACAAATTAGAACTTCTAATTCTCAAACTCCTAATTATCAATAGTTCTGCATGCACACAAATTAAGACTAATTATGTATTAAATTAGATGCACCATAACTGGCCTACAAAATTATTATCATTATACATGTATAAAGTTATCTCTCAACTAATTTATCTAAAAATCAAGTAAAAATAAGTTTAGTTTAGATATAGATGCATACTTGCTTGCATGCATACTATTTTAGAATTATGATGCGGGATTCGCATTACCAAAAAGGAGAAGTTGTGTGATTGGGGAAGGAGAGGCGCGATCATGAGAAGGAAGAAAGGGAAAGTTGGATTTGAGACTCGGTAGCAGAAAAGGAAAGGAAATTTTTTGTGCTTACATTTGATTCATTCCGATCATATAGAATATAAAATATACAACGACCTCAAGAGCAACACTAACTACCAAGAAGCATTTCAGATTGCAAGCATCTCAAAAGTTAACGGTCAAAACAAAAGCACAAATCCTGTCATGAATTTTGTTGAAATTTATATACCATCCAATGCCTATGTATCTCCATATCAAACGCCTAAACTTTGCTTTTTTCCATTTCTACCACTCAACTCTTTCATATGGCATCAAAAATACTATTATTTTAACTTAAAAAAAAGGGAAATACATCTTTTTCATTCATGGCTAAAATGACATATATGTAAAAATTGAAGTTTAAATGTTATATATGTATATACATAGGAATTGTGTGGAGAGTATGTAAATCTTGCTTTTATTTGTTGCAGAAAACTATTGCTTCACCTGGAAGGGGGATACTGGCCATGGATGAGTCTAACGCTACATGTGGAAAGCGCCTGGCTTCTATCGGGCTGGAGAACACTGAAGCCAACAGGCAGGCTTACAGGACCCTTCTAGTTTCAGCTCCTGGCCTGGGGCAGTATATTTCAGGAGCAATTCTCTTTGAAGAGACTCTGTATCAATCAGCAACAGATGGAAGGAAGATAGTTGATGTTCTTGTTTCTCAGAACATTGTGCCTGGCATAAAGGTTGATAAGGTAAGCAACCAGCTCCCCTCTTTTTCCTTTTTTTTTTCTTTTTTTTTGAGATTCGTTCGCTTATTCTGATTTATTGCTCTTTTAGTGCTGTTTATAAAATAAGTCTCAAGAATCCAACTAGCATGAATCAAGAAAATTCATGAATCATACCACACAGTGTTTGTAAATTTAGTAATTGAATCATGATCGACTTTACTCAATTCAGATTATTGTAACCATGTTCAAGTTTCAACTTTTTAATAAATGAGTCTTTGGAAATTATAATCAACTTTTTTTAAAGGTTGAATCTTGTTGAATCCAAATTTGTCCGATCATACCCAAGGCATAAAGCACAGAGACCGAGGAAAAGAAGGGGAGGGGGGGCGAGTACAAGTTATTTTAATCTCTCTATCTGGACCATTAAACTGTCTCGAGATCCGTACAGACTATTTTTTAGTATACATATTATGTTCTTCAATTTTCTTACTCGTTAAAAGCGACAACTGCTATAAAGACAAGAAAATTTATAAAACAAACAAAATATTAGCACATGAATCACTAATGATACTCTTAGGCACTCTTTGCGCCTAAAATATACTGCCCCGAGTACAAGTTATTAAAATTTAAAAAGTTATTAATAAATTGCAATGCCTTAGACATATACTAGTCTTGGCATAAGTCCCGCGGTCAAATAAAAGTTATTGATTGAGATGCCAAGATGGTCTCATAGATTCCCTAAGCCACCAAGCCAAATAAAAAAGGTCGGTCGAGACGCCAAGTTCGTATGGCCGATCGCTCTACTTACACATCCGAATTGTGTTTATCCCCAGAGATGATCCCCTACATAGCAATGACAAGATTTGCGAGGGGTAATGGGCAGATCATCTCGGAGTTAATTTTGTTTGTTTTATAAATTTTCATGAGGATCGTTCACCTTGTGCTAAACATTGCGCTCAAAAGAAAGAGAGGAAAAATTATTCCATGAGGATCGTTCACCGCACGCAGCTTGCGTGCGGTGTCTGATTCGGACCGTAGATCACCTGATCTACGGTCCCGATGTATTGCGGTGGGTCCCACTGAATTTTTTTTTTTTCAAAGAAAGTGAAAATAATCCTGACCGTAGATCACTGAGATCTACGGTCAGGATTGGACACCGCATGCAGAGATGTATGCGGTGTCCGCAAGCAATAATTCCCCCTCAAGGTGAGGTATTCCCGAGGTCTTTAGCCCATTTTATTCTATGAAAAATAGCGGTTATAAGAGAGGGGAAGAGGAGAGAGTTCTCCCTATATGAGGTTGAGAGAGGGAAAAATTTTTTTATAGGACAACGATTGCGATACACCTGATCGCGGCGATTGTTTTTTTTTTTTTGTTGTCACGATGGAAGAATCACAGTCGTTGTCCAGAAAGTGCCTTCCGTGCGGACACGTATAGAAAAATTTTGATGAGTGGAAAGCCCAAAAACCTTTAATATATGTCATGAGTCATCTATTTATGGATGATAAAAAGGGGAAGTACAATATTATGTTTTTACTCTTTCTTTAAAGAGGGTAGTACATGTTATTTTAGTCTCTAAATTAGGACCGTTAGATTATCTTGAGATCAGTGCATATCATTTTTTAGTGTACAAATCTGAACATTAACTGTCAGTATACAGTGTCAAAATTGTTTAATTGAATGAAGACTGTATTTTCAATCTTTAACTCTAATAACCCAAAAATGGAATTTGTAAGCCAAGTTCTGTTCAATGTCAATGATTAGGGCCTTGTTCCACTGGTGGGATCCAACGACGAGTCATGGTGCCAGGGTCTCGATGGTCTAGCTTCACGGTGCGCTGCATACTATCAGCAAGGAGCTCGATTTGCCAAATGGTTAAATCTACCCAACACTAACCTTCAACTTTGTCCAAATTTCTACAAATAATTGAAAAAAAAATTTAATTTTGCAGGCGCACAGTGGTCAGCATCCCTAATGGCCCATCAGCACTTGCAGTAAAGGAAGCTGCTTGGGGCCTTGCTCGCTATGCCGCCATTGCTCAAGTATGATTCATTTGCTTATTGATTCTATTGTTAACCAGACATCTTTTCTAATGTATTTACATATCTAACACCAAAATTTTGCCTTTTACATTTATATCACCTAAATCTTTCATATCACATCAAAATTACCCCCCTTTAACTTTTAAAAAGTAAAATATATCTTATCATTATATATGTAAAAATTGAAGTTTAGGTGTTCAATATGTATATACATAAGAACTGAGTTGCATGTATGTAAATCTTCCTATAATAATGCAGGACAACGGACTAGTTCCGATTGTGGAGCCTGAGATTCTGTTGGATGGAGAGCATGGCATTGATCAGACCTTCGAGGTTGCGCTGAAAGTATGGGCTGAGGTCTTCTTCTACTTGGCTGAAAACAATGTGTTGTTTGAAGGAATCCTATTGAAACCGAGCATGGTGACACCAGGTGCAGAGAGCAAGGAGAAGTCTACTCCTGAGGAAGTGGCAGAATATACTCTTAAGCTTCTTTATAGAAGAATTCCACCAGCTGTTCCTGGAATCATGGTGAGTTTCTAGCAAAATAACTAGTAACAGATTTAAGTAAGATTTAATTTAAATCTGCCATACAAAAAGAAAGTAAAATTTTAAATTCGGGATGTAGTAAATCCAATTTCTTCTCAATTCCTCTCAGTTTTGTCTTAAATCTCAGATTTACTAAATCCTCTTTAAAAAACGCTGGTGTCCGCCTCTAAAAGTATTAGCTTTATCCTTATACTGGTGAAGAAATATTAAATGGCTGAATTTTTCTAATTCAAAATGAGTTTCATGACTAGTATAACAAGCTTAATTTTGATCCCTTTGGGTCACACTTCTTAAATAGTGGTACTCCTAATTGATCAATTAAGTGCATATCACTGCAACCTTTTGTGTTTTTAATGGAACAGTTCCTTTCTGGTGGACAATCTGAAGTGGAAGCAACTCAGAACCTAAATGCAATAAACCAAAGCAAAACCCCATGGCACGTCTCATTCTCTTACGCCAGAGCGCTGCAAAACACTTGCCTAAAAACTTGGGGAGGGAGACCAGAGAATGTCAAGGCGGCGCAGGATACACTGCTGCTTCGAGCTCAGGCCAACTCACTTGCGCAGCTCGGGAAATACTCTGGTGAGGGCGAGTCAGCCGAGTCAAAGAAGGTGACTTACGAGAAGAAATACACCTACTAGTGGTTTTGCTGGTTATGCGTGGGATGTTAAACTATTTGAGAGGTGTTAAATTGAATGGAATTAAAGGAAGCCGACAATTTAGGGATGATGGCTATGTATTATGATACAGTGGCAATAGCTATATGTTGATTAGTTTAACTTAGCTGATTATATTATGTTTATTAAATGGAAGGTTGCTTTTTTATTGTGTAATGTAGCGATATTGTACTAGCCAAAGAACTATCACTTTGGTGTACTAGTGTGATGTTAGATTTTCTTGATATTGTATCCAGCTATTTGTGAAAACATAATTATACAAGGTCTCCAGCTATTTGTGAAAACATAATTATACAAGGTGGTGAAGCTTTAAATTTGCATTCTCATGAAAGAACACGGTGTTTACACCATCTTCTCCAACCACAATTAGATAAGAAGTCTAAACTCTACTTAATTCAATTGTATTGTCAATCTTTATCAAATATAAATTGCATCCCTAAAATATTTCTTCAAAGCATTGCATTATGTTGCAACCAATTCCATCGCATGAAATCAGTTCAGTTAAGCCTACAGCACCAACAACAAAATTGTTTTGTGTAGTATGATTAATATGTTGCCAATAGAATAAATCTAAGAATGTTCAAGCTATGGACTGATAAATTCAATCTACTATGTTCTAGGTTTGAGCATTTATATCCAACTGAAACCTCTAAGTAGGCATGATCTAATCAGATCCTATTGCATTCTTAGAATAAATATGAGCAATTATATTTCATGGCTTTCTATTGAAAAAATTTTATTGGTCAATCCAATCAAATGCTTGGACATCATGGTTTTTATGTAAATATTTTAAAGAGTGTATTTCTATCTCCAACCAAAATTTCATGGTTCCCACATCATAGATAAATGCAGGAAAATAAGTTAGTCCATAAAACTAATATTATGATTGGGTCTTGGAATAGAAGTACTTTTACAAGTAAATTAATGGAGTTAATAGATGTTGTGATTCATAAAAAGATAAATATCATATGCATTCAATAAACTAAATGGGTTGGAGAAAAGGTTAAGGAATGTGATAACTTAGGTTTTAAACATTGGTATTCAAGTAGGAGTTGGACTAGAAATAGTGTATGTGTAATTCTAGACAAGAATTAGAAAGATAATGTTATAATATTTAATAGATAGAATTATAGCCCTAGAGATTGTTGTTGATACTAAGAATTCAATGTTATAAGTGTTTATACTCTAGAAGGTTTAGAAATAGGTTCAAAAGAAAAATTTTGGAATGAGTTAGAAGAATTACTACAAATAATACGTCTTCAAGAAAGAATTTTTATTGAAAGAGATTTAAATGAACATGTGAGTAGAGTGGTAGAAAACTTCAGAAATATTCATGGTGGTTATGATTTTTTAGTGATTAATGAAGAAGGTAGAACCATATCAGATTTCGTTTTAGCTTATAATTTTGTTATTGCTAATATTTTATTTAAAAAAAGATAAAGATATTATTACTTATAAAAATAGATCTAATAAAACACAAATTGATTATTTTCTTATGAAAAAAGAGATCGTCGATAATATAAAGTTTGTAAGGTCATTTTTAATGAAAATTTAAGTAATCAACATCTACTATTAGTTCTGGATTTTAAGATGAAGAGTTAAAAAATAAAACATTATCATAGAATTATATGAGGTCACCTAAAAGAATAAAATTATTTTTATAAATAAACTTTAAGATTTCAAGATTTGGGATATTCATAAAGAAGATAATTCTATGTGCAATAAAATAACAAGCATTATTAAACAAATGAAAAAAAAAACCAATAAAAAGATAAAATTTTAAAACATAAAAATAATTTGTGGTTGAATAATCATGTACAAAAAAAGATAAAATAAAAGAAGTTTTATTATTAAAACTAGTTTAAATATAAAACTTGGAGAACTGGGATAAATATAAGGTGGCCCAAAGATGTTTGGAAAGAACAATTTATAATGTTAAGAATCCTATTTTTAGTAATCTTTATAATACATTAGATACTAAAGAACGTAAAAAATATGTTTAAACTAACCAACCAAAGAGAAGAAAAGTAAAGATTTAATTTAAGTGTAATAATAATGAAAATCAAAATATTTTTCTAATAGGAAGATATTCAACATAAGTGGGTGAGATATTTTGATTAGTTTTTTAATGAAGTTTTTGAAAATACGATTGACCATAATGATCTTAATATCGTTAATAATAATATATAACTTTTTATTTTTATTGCCGCATTAGTAAAGACAAAGCTAGCGAGACTTTGAAGAAAACTAATTGAGGAAATTCAGTAGAACCTAGTGGTCTGCAAATAGAAGTATGAAAATATTTAGAAGATTTGAGAGCTTATTGACCTACTAAATTTTTCAATGTTATTTTAGAAACTAAAAATATTTTTGTGGAGTAAAGGAAAGAGTATTTTGGCTCTCATTTTTAAGAATAAAGGGAATGTAAAAGAGTGTGCAAATTATAGAGGAATTAAATTAATGTGTGTTGACCTCATTTTTAGTGAGGTCTTAGTCTTCTACTCTTAGAACCTAGAATCTAGCCTTAGGAGTTCCTGGTTGACCATCCTAGCGGACTAGTAACGGAGCCCACCTCCCATAGAACTTCAAACCGCTTCTTTACTCATTTTTGTGAAAACTCGCACGAGTGGTCCCAAGCACTCAATTTCTAGTTGCAAGGGCTAAGGACCAACATGCAGAGGGTCTGAAAATGAGTTCCTATAGGATCGAACGACCTTAGGTTAACCCTCGGTGACTCGGCAACGCACTTGTTGCATCACACACGATTTTAGGCTTAAATTGACTCGCCCACCGGTAAACTCGTCCGGACGACCCCGGATGACGAAACGGATCGCGCCAACGCGTCCGGAACGTCAACTTTAGCTAGGAAGGACACCCGCATTGTTATGGTTTCGCGCGCGAGCGACTAGCACGGATATCAATGCATTTTTTTTTTTTAAGCGGTGCGTGGGCCCGGGCTCAACCCAGGTTCAACTCAGGTTCAATTTGGGCTGGACTCGGGCTGAACAATGATTAAACAATTTTGAATTTCAAATTTTCAAATTTCAAATAAGCATTTAATCTCATTTTAATTGAAAGATAAAGGCTTTCCTTTCGAATTTGTTTCATCAATGGAAATTAATTAAGTCCCCGCCAAAGTTTAGCATAACGGCTCTCCGCTCCAATTCTAAAAAAAAGGATCGCCTTTTTCTTCAGGGATCTTCCTTCTTTCGCCTGGCCTGAACTCCTGCTCATCGGCTCGACAAACTTCTCACGCTCAATCCGGCGCTCCTCCTTCACAGACCGAGACCCTCGTCTCTGTCTCGACTCCCTCCTCTTCGGCAAGGGCCCCGCTCGTCTCACCCTCTCCTCTTCTGCGAACAGAAGCGCTCCTTCCGCTCTCTGCCCCACGCACCGAAGCACGCACTCACCTGCTTCGCCTCTCCCTTCGCTCGGCAATCTCCCGCTCCTGCAATTCGGCTCTCCCGCTTGTTTCCTCTGTTCGATCTCGCTCGACAGAGACTCTCGCCTCGGGTCTTCCTTCCTCTGTCGCCGAACGGACGAAGCCGCTCGCCTCCTCCCGATCGAAAACCCCTCTCGGACGCTCCTCTGCGAACAGGAAGACCCCGCTCGATCCCTCCTCCCTGCGACGAAGGCAACCTAGTCTCCCGCTCTCTGCTCGATCCCTCCTTCCTGCCTCCGTCTCTCGCACCGAAGCCGCAGCCGCACTCGCCATCTGCGCCGAAGAAACTCCTCGCCTGCTCGATCCCTCCACCCACGTCAAATCCCCTCGCCTCTCTGCGACTGGATCGAAGGCCCGATTGAAATGCTTGCTTCGCCCTCCACTGCACCGAAGCCGCTCGACTTCAGTCTTGCCTCTCTTCTCTGAGTCGAGACCGCTCGACCCCACTCCCGTTCGCCTCTGCTTTCGACCGAAACCCCGCCCGGCTCCTTGCCTTCCGCTCAGTCCTCTCGCTCGATCAAAATTCCAGCTGCCCGCTTCTTCCTCTTTCGATCGTCCAAGCTGCGGGACTCCGAGGACTGTTTCTCTCGGTGAACTAACGGTTTCCATTTCTAAGCATCTCAAAACAGGTTTCAATGATTTATCTTGCTTCTTTTATTCCCCTAACACATTGCTAATCTGTTTTTTTTTTATTATTCATGATAGCTATTCTAAGAGGCTTATGATTAGCTCAAAATCTCCATTCACTTTGTGATTATTGGCATGCGATAAAATAATTTCACATCTCGTAAACGTATTCATATTTAATGAATTGGACCCACTGTTCAATGCAAGGAATTTTTGAAATCTGCAATGGGATGTTCATGTTGTACTTGGGTATTGAAAT